GGGGGGGGGGAGGGGGAAGGAGGGAGGAGGGGCATAGGCAAGGCTGCCAGTGGTTCCCTTTTGTGAGGCATCAGAAGCAAACCGATTGACAGAACCGAGTAATAGCTTACCATCGAAAAATAAGCATTGGGGGTTTTTTATGAAATGACCTCAAACTTCGAAATTTTTTCAAACATACAAGAAATCCATTGGGTTCGATGAGGTTTGCCGTATTGCGAACCGCCTGGCGGTATTCATGAGCGTTCTCGCATGAGTATTCCAAACAAAAAATAGAAACAACGATTTGAAATTGTTGAGGTATGTGGTCAGAGCTGGAACGCTTGAAGTGAATGCACTGGATGTTCGGTTGGGCATGTAAATCAATCTGAAATGGCTATTTTCTGAAACATTCATATAGGAACACTCACCCCCGCAGTGCATATTAATATTATTATCTACGGTTAGTATGATTCCTACGAAACGAGTCAAATTTAGATGGTTTTACATGTGCCACAATTCAAATATTAGGTACGTATAATTCTCGTCAGAAACTATTTACTACTCGTCGAACATCCTTTTCATGGTATGGATCTCAATTTTCTAAATTTTTTGAATCTAACAATTAAAATTTTTGAGATTTGACATGTTAAAATTTTCCAGACTTGATATATGAATCAAAATTATAACAAGCGTCATAATATAATTAACACGTATTATGGACTAGAAAAGAAAACGAAGCATAAAATATGCATTTAATGCGAATTTTTAACAGTATTCTGAAAATATGTATATAATTCAAATTTTTAAATTTCTAATTTTTAAGGATTTATGAAAAGGTGAAACAACAGATTAGTTATTGGATTTTGAAAAAAACTTTGTCAAAAACAGTCGGTCCGCACACACTGTCACAATTAGTTCAGTTAACGTAGATAAAATACGTTGATCAATCGAAGTAATTTAACAACTGGACATTATCCACACAGATTACCACTCAGTTAAGAATGATTCTGAATATGATTCACATCCTCATACTTCGGTGAAGAGTGTTCCTGAAGCTTAATGATACTAATATAACTAATACTCTTATCATTAAAAAAACAAAAATGGAAAGTTATGAAAATCACTTTTTTCGAAAATATTGATGGGTTTCTTAGGTATAAAATCTTGTAACTTTTTTTTTCATACTTTTATTTTTCACTTTCATTTTTCGAGGTTTTCGCTGTTGCTTTCATTTTATTCATTTCATTTTTTTTTTCAAATATATTATTACCACAGTCATCGTACTGACGAAGTGCAGTTGTGGAATTAAATAAGGATGTATACGACTTAATGGACTGAAACATTCCTGTTTAGAATCATTTCAATGTTTTCCGACATTTTTTTGGTTTAACATTATCAAATTCTTTTACATCTTTTACAAATCTTAATGACTGCAAGCTATTTCCAGGTTCAGACCTTGGAATGGTAAAATAATATTCTCAAATTCTCGACTCCAATTGCTGCTTTATTTTATCGATTATTGTGTTTCTGGCCCAGACAATTATTATCCATAAATATTGTTTTTGTATGACTGACCCTTAGAACGGCTGCAAGCTTATTGCGAGCAGATTTTTCCATTTCTGAGGGTGATTCATTCGAATTCTCAATGCTTCTTATCCATTTGCATATTTCGGTCCATTCGAATGGTGATCTATTCTCGGCCCATATTTTCAACGTTTCACAATTACGCTGTGCATAGTCGGCGCTGTAAATCTGTTCGGCATGTCTGCGGAATATAATTGGTACATAAACTGTGGGACCTGAATAGCATCGTTTCTTTGAATGTTTTGTGCGGTAAAATTGCTGCTAGATTTAACTAATGACTTCAAACTCAGCTCCCAGGTATGCGTGGTTCCCACAGACATAACTGTGAAAATTTTTCGTAGATAACTCGCTAACTTGAGAACT